GGAAAGCGTTGGCATTTCAAACGTTGTTTAAGAAACATATTATACATATGTATATTCTGTATATCTTAGTGGCTTTCTCACAAACTGGCACTGCTTTGTTTCTCCCCTTTCTCTCTTTTTCCGGATGATAATTCAAATATAATGCATGCCATTGTGCTGGATATTGTCAGGATGAATTATCACTGTCCGTAACAGATGATGCTTGTAGTAGCTTCATATAGGGAAGGGTTTGATATGCTGATACAGAACATATCGAATACCTTCTGTGACAGTATTGTAAACACCCAGTACCATGTCCAGACTTTCCTGAAAGAAACTTATGATTGTCGTTGTGCTTTTGAAATTTTGCCCTCTGGAACAGTTATTTAAAAGATGTTCATTTCAAATATGAGGTTCTACTTATAAGCAACCCAAATTTACACAATGATTATATATATGTATTTATCTTCACGCTTCCTAAAGTGTCCCACTGGATGTAATAAGAAGTATATGGTAATTTTTGTTTGTTTGTTTGAAGTTAAGCACTAAGCTGCACAATGGGTTGTCTGTGCTCCGCCCACCACAGGTGTCGAAACTCAGTTTCTAGCGTTGTAAGTCCGCAGACATACCGCTGTGCCACTGGGGGGCTTTATGGGGGATTAGAAATGAGGGTACCTTTGAAGACCAAACTAGGAATTCGCATCTCATTCTAGCTTTAGTTTTAATAGTACCTATTACGGCTTAATAAGTCGCAAAACTAAAATTCATTGTGGGGTTACACTAACATAACACAATAATATACACTTTAATAGGTAATGTTTTTGCTAACTTTGCACATTCAAAATTATTTTGCGGAAGAAAACTGCTCATTGAAGATAACACTTCAGTAAACATTTTAATGTATGTGAAGTGTGAGTAGCTCGGCAAATTATAAATGTTATATATGTGAGAACTAAAAAGCGTTCCATTTTAATTGTTTAATCCTCGAATTGACCTTTAGCAACTCGCCTTTTCAAACACGTTAAACAATTCATATGTTCTTATGTAAATTGGTTCGTTGCTCTTAAAAGTGCTTTCCTAGTTTCGTGAGTTTCTTGAATCCAATGCCCTTGTTCCGAAACTGTTTTAATATGTTCTTTGATCTTCTCATACACGAGGATTAATTGTAAATTCAAAATAATATTGACCTTGAAAAAAATACTGACGTCATGCTATTAAACAATTAAGAAATTATATTTATGCCAATTTCACAGCGCATGAGCAGTATAATGAGACAAGGACCTGAAATATGTGCGTGGAATACATACTTCTCGGTGAATGACATGTGTGTCAGATATACTTTTACATCTTATCATAGTCTTATTCATGTAATAATTGTTTCAATAAATATTTTGTGCTTTTCGTATTCAATGATAGAAAGAAGGATTTTTTTCAGGAAAGACAAAGCCATCAGTGCATATAACAGATAACAATTTTGACCGTGCTATTTACGCCGCTTCTGAACGTTAGAGGACACTTGTAGATAACAGTCGCTTGGTAAGTTTGCTTGTCATTCCGAGTTAATGTTCAAAGTATCGTTTGTTGAGGATTATAAAGCAAGTGTTTTAGCACGCGGTTGTTTTACGCTGAACCTTAACTGTCGTGTTTTCAATCACGGGTGATTTGCGCCTGCAGGAGTCACTCCTATGTTTTAAGATATGTGCGTGCTCTTTCGCAAGAGTTCTTTATGTTTATATGAAGTCAGAAAACAGATTATCAGTAATGTTGAAATGTTTGGTAACTCATTTTTATATAAAGACCACCTGCGACTCATAAAAAAAACATTTAATAGAAAATTACAAAACTTAAAAAAACACTATCGTTTTCAGTCACGGTTAAAAGAAATCAATTGAAATATTATCAGCATCGTTACAAGATTTTGATTTATAACTTGTATGCAAAAATGAAGCCAATCTGTCTTTATTAATTGATCACAGCTTTTACGTTATGTAGATTGCTAATTCTTTATGTATAGCATCGAAATATTTTTGTCGTCTGATATTATACATCATCATGCTCATTTCACTATCGAGTCTCGAGCAGCAGATGATGTCGATAGCAAAGGACAAGGGGGACTAGAAATAAAAGAAGTACCAAGGTTGGTTGTGGTTGAAAAGCTGTCACCGAGAATTATGCGACCCTTGGTTTCGTTTACAGATACCATCAAACAGGTCATTTACAGCATATACCTCCGGGGAGCGTTACAAGAGCTGTACATGGACATAGAAAAATTGAGTGTGCTCTGTGATGGGGCTTATTACCTTTGTATTTGATCCACTTATTTCTAGGTCAGGAAAGAGAAATAGAAATATCAGTATGAAGGACCAATCCAGACAAAATTTTGGTTATATTATCAAAGAACCTCGTGAGTTTTGGATTCCTCAAAATAAAGTGTGGGTGTTATCTTGTTCTTTAGATAATTAATAAATGCAAAACTGTATTTACATTCATCTACTGTCATGACAACGACCTGTTAACACATCCTCTATCGCACACTCTGGTGGTGGCTAATTAGAATCTGATATTTGCAGGATTTTTCGGGGAATTTTTATAGAAGATAAAAAAAGAAAATAAATATCGAAAAATCACCATTTTTTTTCCTGTTTGGGATTATGGGCAAACGTTGCTGTACGTAAACCTCCGAGTGTTTATTACGTAGAAAAGATATTGAGCAAACAACGATACAGTAAAACTATTCTTGAAACCGTACATACATACAATTGGTTAGATAAGGGAATTTTCATACTGACTCTGGCATCCGTTATTTTCAGGGTTTTTTAGACAAGCTAATGTGTGTTGATAGTAATTCCTTTAATTATATCACTGTCACATTTATAGATATACAACTCTCCTGGTGTCGGGTTTATTTGTAGATACATAATAGAAAACAAATACGCGTTTTAATACTGCATTATCTAAAACTTTAAACTGGTGGTACAAATTCCAATCTCCAATGGCAACGAAATATTTGAAAAAAAAAGTACCAATCTTTACTTACGTATTATTTGTTTAAATCTCACACAGATAGATAAATGTTTTTCTTTTTCATGTTACAGGAACTCTGTACATATTTATCAAACTTTTTTAGCAAATAAAAGTTTAATAAGATGCGTGTTTAAAATATGTTCCTCGATTTTAGGTTATAATTGTGGTAGATTTTACTATTGATATTTTTTATTCTAACTATCAGTGTCCCAAAGAACATTTATCTAACTTTATTTTTATATCAGCTAAAAGTGTTGTATACAACACACACAATGTGAATTACAAACTGATGCAAACTAACGCTATATCCCTGGATATTAATTACAAGTTTTTATGTAAGATTAAGTGCTCGTGTTTTAACAGAACATTTTTAGTATTTAAAACAAGATGATCTGACCTATTTTTATTATACGCTGTGTTTAGTCTCCTGGAAAACCACGTTTTATAATTACAACTGGAAATCTATTTAACTTGCTAAATTTTTTTTTATTTTTATCCTCTTATGATTTTTATTTTAGTAAACATGATTATTGTGGAAAATGCTAGTGACTGATATATAAATATATATATATTATATAATTAGAATGAAGACTGTACTCAACTCTTAGCCAGTTCTGCAGTTTTTCACATACCTTTTATATAAATACATTTTTTGATAGAATAAACCATTTTAAATAATTCCAAATTTCAAGATCCTTTCTATTTACTTTACGTGTATATGTAAGCACATGTTTAAAAGAAAGGAAATAGGTTGAATTTTAAATGTGCCGTCATTTGAAATACATTTCGACATCTTCCATTCCAGCGCTGTAGTATTTCAATCCACTTTTTTCATCTTGTATCAGTGTATCTCTTAATAACAGTATTTATCGCTACTTAGCACGAGATGTTGCCCAACTAGTTCAGCTTCTGCGTTTTGTTTTTATGTATTAGATGATATGTTTCTTGTGAGTTATAAACTTTTAGAATACTGAACCTGCTTGCTTGTGCTTTACACATTTCGAAGCTAAACGTGTCCTCAGTTAATATTTTACTCAAACATTTCTGTCAGTGTCAATCGTCTTGTTTTCCTAGCTCAGTTTAACCTTTTAGATTATCGACTTGATTTTATACTGTTCACTACCGGTAGAGTCCACACGTTGCGTTATACTGAGCACTTGTCTCTTTTTACACGATACAACAACGAATGTAAAGAACTGACAAAAATAACTGAGTGAAGCTATTTATATTCCAGGTAAAATACACACCCCCTCTAGCAGCAATTAGTGAGATTAATTTTGATATTTAGTATTTTCGTTTCCATAAATGTGTGATTCATTTATTATTAGGCACACTGTAACTAATAAATTATGGACTCACAAGCAACTTCGTGCACAAATAGTTGGAAAAGATGTGTTTAAGAAGCCGAGGTGATTCTAGGGTTAAACTGTTGATGTATTAGTATGAAGGTCTACATACATTATTTAAAACAATATCCAGAGCTCAGAGCGACTCTAAACCTGGTTCCCACAGATATACAGTTTTTTTTTCTGTTGAATTGCCTTCACACAATCTTTCATGAAACGGTTCGTTCTAGGCCTAAGTTTCTGATAGCGGATGAAATTATTATTGAACATGCTGTTCATGTGAGTGTGTTACAGTTTCTTTTAAATCATTATGAAAAGTGAATGTTATTTACCTTCATGTTTTTTTCTGTTCATTCTTTCATATTCATCTATTTTAGTTTCTCTTTTTAAATGATGATAGCAAGTAGGTAAAGAATTGATTTTTTTTTAATTCTGTAATTCAAGCATGTTAAAAATATGTGAATTTTTTGTTCTGAAACTTGTCTGTACACTCCTTACAAAAATGGGTGGCATTCAAATATGATAAATAGATTAGCGGTCAATATGTTTTATTGTTCAGAGAGCTTTAGAAAACGAATTATTGGCTATTTTTAAGTTAACTTTATATATTTTCAAGAGTTTTAATGACTACTATTTTTGCCTGTTATACAGGAGAGAAACCATTTAAGTGCGAGTTCGAGGGATGTGACCGGAGGTTTGCTAATAGTTCCGACCGGAAGAAACATTCTCACGTGCATACCAGTGACAAACCGTACAACTGCAAGATACGAGGCTGCGATAAAAGTTACACACACCCAAGCTCGCTAAGGAAACACATGAAGGTACATGGGAAGTCACCTCCGCCGCCCGGCGCAGTGCCGGGTTCCACAGGTAGCAACAGCTCTATGTCTGACTACGAAAGCGACACGCCACCGTGCGCTACCGCAAACGGTAACAACAGCAATGCGTTGATCGGGTCCCAATCTACGGGCACATTAGTCGGTTCTGGCCTACCAGGCCACACGGCATTACCCATGGTAAGCAACTCTGGGCTTGGAGTAGGAAGTGGCCACCCAACAAACTTGAGTGAATGGTACGTGTGTCAGTCTGCAGCAGGTATGCCAACTCCACCCAGTAACGAAAACTCACCTGTGGTCGGAATGGCTCACCATCTTCACGGTTCTCCACCTTACTGATCCAATATGTGTACAGATATTGTGAAGCAAACAAACAACCATATGGACGGAGTCTCATGGGTCATCCGAACAGAGGTAAGCCTGTTTGGTTTACATAAGAAAACAGAGCCTCCTATGTCTAAATGGTCTTGTCCACTTTTTCCTCAACAGTCATTACAGCTGATATGCTTACCATGTGTAAATATCTATTTCGGACCTCAGTTTACTTCTAGAGCATGTTGAGCACCTGATTCGTAAAAGAAAAAAAAACTGGACAGAGTTTGAAGGTGTGATAGAATAAAAGATCGTTATTTGTGGGTTTTGAAGACATCTGTGTTAGTTGTGTAAAATGGATTATATGAGAATGCTAGTATACACATATTCATGTATTTATGTGTTTTCTTCTGTTTTACCACAACCTATGAAGAGTCAAAGGTCCATCATAAAATCTAAATAGATAAACCAGTAAAGTCATGCATAACATTAGCATTTACCGAATGTAAACAACGAAAAGCTCTGATAAAACAGAGATACAACGTTTATTCAATGAATGCTATTTACATTTACTTAATAACTCGCCTGTATCTTAGTCTATGTAAATTTGTATCTTGGGAAACTTAAATGAGTATTTCGTTGTTGTTTTGAAAATCAAGATTTGACACAAAGGTTTAATTACATGCGATTTAACAAATGAACGAGTGATTTAGGCAAAAATATAGCTTCGCGAACTCTTGAAAAGTGCACCATGAAAACTTACGTTACGTAGTTATTGTAACGTTCTTGCTTCCTAGTCCTGAAGAAGTAAGGACTTGAACATGAATTAACGTAATTGGTTTATAAAAAAGCTCTAGTTTTGTTTTTTGCCTTTTTTTAAAAAATCAACAGTAAACAAAAAAACAACAAGAAATAAACCTTTGCCATATTTACAAATCAGTAGTAATATTTTGTAAAGAAGTTGGTCACTGTTGATAAATGTAAATGATGCTTTACCCTTCACACCAATTAGTTCATTTTCGAGGCATTTGAACTTCACATGATTTGTTTATGTCTAACGAATTTAATTATTGCTTACTCACCTCTCTGTTGTTAGGATAATGAATAGTTTATGTTTATATGTTCTGTACCATGACAGCTGAAGTAATCTGAGAACAAAACCCTTTCGATGAAGCTGCAAATAGAAAATGTAAACATTTCTATATATATATATATATATATCGAAATGTTTACACATATACAAGAGGCATTTAAAAAATGAAAAAGTATAGAAAGGGAAGTAACTTCAAGTATAACTAGAGAGTAAGTACAAGTGGTATGAATTACAGCTTGTATTGTCAAGCAGGTATCTTATATGAAATATCTTCATGATGAAAAGAAATGTTGTCTTGATTTTCGATATGCTAACAAGAGTTTAAAGAGCTTATGTATGTTAAAATTATATTTTGGATAAGTTGAACAATCAGTTAATCATGTCTTTTAAGCAGCTATAGCTTTCTAACACAGTTATTGGATAACTTTCAGCAATTAATTATCTGAACAATGCATGCAGTGTTGGCCTACTCGTATGTTAACAGTAGCACAAACGGAACTAAGCATTTAAAAACCCGCGTAATCACTTGCAACTGTTTGTTGAACGTTAGTTAAATATGCAAAAAGAGACGAACATATAATAAAGAGATAAAACAAGTGTCCAAAAAAATAAAGAATAAAAACGTTAAATTCAAAACAGTAAATAGTGTGTTGGAACTTCAGGAGTATCACAACCACTGTGTAAAATTGTTGTTTGGTAATAAGCCAGTAATATCTTGCATCGTAGTTTTGAATCATTTGTGTAAAAGAGATGAACATACACTTTGATTGAAAATAGGATATTAGAACTAAACAAGTTATTACAAGTAATGCATAACAAAATGGGAAATGTCCAAGTAGAAGTCAATATAAATTATATTCGATGCGCTGTTCCATAAATAATTACAGTAATGTAAATAAGTAGTTTAGCCACATTCGCTACTTCCTAAATTGATAAAGTAACATACATTCCCAACTATACTATCCCTTTTGTTTATTTTATCATTTTAAACATATTTTGAAGCTAAGTTGCACAAACGCTTTCCAGAGATCGGAACAAACAGAATTCCTTAATTGGTCTTTACGAACAAACCTTCTGGTGTATACTACTTTACAACGTCTGCTTCTCGAGTTTCCTGTAATAAATTTAAGTTCAAGTAAATCTTTAAATACTGGTTAAAAGATCGTTTAATTTTGAAAAAGAAACTTTAATTTTACCACAAAGATATTAAAACTTAATGATATTGAAAAGCTTTTACTAAATAAAATACACACGTGGTATAAGAATCAACGTTATTTATACCACGATCTAATATTCTGCTATGTCCGATTATTTTAGCCTTCTTCGATTTCTTGCAACACCTGCTCAACTGAAGAGATCTTTATATTTCAAGCCTAGACTGTATTTAGAAACTCCTAACATTAAATCACGTTCTTACAACTGTATCTCAACGTGAGTTAGCGGTGATCACCTATCAAGAAACTAATCTTTCCCAACACTCACACTTACCTCGTAGTAATAGCCTTACATACATGCAGTCTTTACACTGACTGTTCTGACGACTGGAATCAAGCCAAGTTAAGGATAGTCGTGCTTCTATTCCACCTCTTCATTTGGTCACCAGATGGTGAAAGCTGTAAGAGGGGTGGAGGTGTGAATCTTCCCGTCTTATGTGTTTATTGTTTGTAGACAGAGAAATGATTAGGCTTTCAGCAGCAACGAACAAACACAGTTTCTAATGTGATCAATCAGAAAACGTAAACCCCTACAAAGATCTCATACAACGTAACTTGACTAGAGACAGTTGAATATCATTTATTGACTTGCCAAATTTTTTACTCTTCGGTTACCCGGAGAACGTTGTACTTGCCTCACCTGGTAAAATAGTGTATACTCTTAACAAAAACAACATATATATAAGACATAAACTAAAAAATATGTGTTATTAGGCATCACTGTTGCAACATTTTTTAAATCTTCACTAAAAACCAATTTTTTGCAACATTTATTGAGAATTAGTGCTAAAAACTGTTGTTTTTTGTACATTTACTTGACGTCTCGAGATTCTAGGGAATTGGCTGATTGCAAAATAAAGAATTATCAAATTAAAAGAAAAACTGCTTTTAGTCACCAAAAACACGTACTACATTGTCTCAGGTAATTATGAAATGCCGAAGAACCTGCATTTCTCCAAGAAGAAAGTTCATGTAACACTGAGCTCATGTTAATAAAAGCACGAACGTAGGAGGGCCATCTTCACATACAACGTTTGAAAATAGGCCTCTTAATATAGGGACCGTGTTTCAAACTTGTGGGATAAGTGGTGTTCGTTTTCATTACACTGCTATAAATCGCTCAAGAGTACTTGATGCGAAGTAACGCGTCCCCCTGTTTCACTGAGGAATTCCGGGTCGTATTTTATGACGCGCGGAAACGGAACTTCAACCGCACAATAAATTGATAGTCATCTAATTAGGAAACGTTGTATACCAGCAAGAATGAATCAAATTCATTATCTTCATCAAAATAGTTAATTGTCCTGAGGTTCCAGAATAGGAAAAGTTAACTTAAAGTACCTCTCTTTATTTCCACATTGAAATAGCGATGGCGCCAACATGGTCAGCCCTAACTGTGTAACCCGTTGAAGACTAACATTAAACACATCGAGGCTGAAACAATATATCGGAAAATGGGTTACCGACAAATAATAATCCACTAAAGATCCTATTCCAAACTGAAGCCAGAAACACAAACCTCTTCACAGTTATTAGCCACTGAGCTGTGATATCTAATTCCATACAAGATAAATTAACTATCAAATCCTGACTGCACAGATTACACACTGCTTTTTTGTGAGAACTCAAGCGCGAAACTGGGAGGAGTTATCGACAAGTTGAAAGACTGGGAGGAGCATGACGATAAAAAAATTAGTGTGTTTTTTCTGAAACTAAAAGTAAGAAGTGAACTCATTTAATATTTAAATGTAGATTGGTGGAATTGTATGATAAGTAATTTTTGCATTTATTTGAAAGAAAATGTGATCATTAAAAAAATCAGGAAGTTATTCGACAGTTTTTTTTTTGTAGGTGTCCTTGCTAAACGTGATATAATACATGAATGCAGCGTGTTTCTTATTCATTTTAACTTCTATGTAGTGAGGACTCATACCTCTCTTAATCTTCCATTGTTTTCCATTCCGCTCTTCTTTCCTTCCAATCCAAGTTCAAAAACTAGTTACTCAGTGAAGACACGATGTTCTTGGATAAACAGTGTATTTAAACAGGAATTGCGGAGCTGACATGAAAGAAAATGTCACAGCAGAGTGGAAGGTGCAAGAAAATTCTGTCCGTTAACTAAGCTTCTAAGATTCTAATAAAGATGTAACATATCATTGATCATGTCTACTGGGCCTTTAAGTACACTATAGCCCTCCTCTCACACTTTCATACGCTTCACGGCTTCTGTTAATGAATGTGTTGATTCAAGACAGCCAAGTATTTCAGTCCAGTTTCATTATTTCTACTGATTATCATGTAAACTATTTCTACATATTAAAAGTAATTGATGTTTTAGTTGCCTGTTCTTAACACGATGTCTTCTATATAGTATTATTGATAATTAATATTTCCAAGTCAATGGAATCACTTGGTCTTTTTGTAATTATGAAACGTTAATTCAGTTGTCACTCCGAGCTGAATCTAATTTGAATAACTGAAACAGAAAATTGTGCTCATTATAAAAGATTTTCATACTATATAAATGTAGTTAAAATTTGATAAAAAATACTTTAGATTTTTTCAAAGATTTATCAATGATACCATGTATGATTTTTATAGCATTCGAAATAATCCTTTGCACACAATTTACGTGTTTAATGAATTTGTGTGTGTTTTTAAGTTTTGCTGTTTTCAGCGTGATATGTGATTAAATTCGTGCTACCTTATTGCGCTCTACAGTGTGATAGGCTAGAAGAGGAATGCTTTTGTTTACTTAATGATTGTTCATAATTTAATGAGAACTCCGTTTCATCCTTACACAAAGCTTTATTAGAACTTTAAAAGTCATTCTCCAGTTCTTTTAAGCTATGTTTTATTTTTCATGTTTGTATTAATGACACTGTTGCCTTATAGCTGATCCATTGATCCTTTCTCTTTACATAATGCATTGAGTGTGTTACACCATCTTGTAAATAGATTAATGAATGACAAAATATTGTTTTTACAAAGAGAATCGAAATGTCCATTGTATTATTGATTTGTGTATTGTAAGTACTGGTGTTGTGTACAGTTATGATGTAAATTTTAATAAAAACTGATAGTGAATTGTTGTACCTGTCGTATGTTATTATAATACCCATTCAACCGAACACAATAAAACCGTGCTATCAGCAGCTTGATTTGTTTATAGAACTTAACATGAAATTCGGTCAAATATCTTATAGATAAGAGAGCATCAAGAAAGCATTATAGAAATAGTAATCGTGCATGTCTTTAGACACGTTGCAGACGTAATTTCTATAAGTATAAATTTTACAACATAGTTTTTTAGGTTTCTGTATTTTCAAGCTTCGATTATTTTTTGCCATATTTTTAGTATGTAGATAATTATCCTATCCAGTTCTTTTAAACATTTATAATACATCATAAAATTAAAGGTAAATCACCGACTTTTAACAGAAATGTTGAACTTTACTTTCCTACATTGCTGTTAAATATTTATTTGTTTTAATACAACAGATTTTTGATATTAGGGAGAAGTATTGAACAGCTGGAATTCAAAAGTTACAATGAAAACTTTCAAACGTTAGATAAAAGAAAACAATGAACATAGAAAAATGTATAATATCTACAATTTACATATAATTGGTGTTAAATAGGTTACGTATAGATAATTCTTGAAACCTTCCAAATATCGAAATCTTAGGCGTGATACTAACGTCAAAAAATTATCGTAATAAGCTTGATGTCAACGTTTTCATGCTTCACTGGAGTCTCTTTAAATTCCTTGAAAGCAGATTCTTAGCACTCGAGATCACTCATTTGTAAATACAAGTTTCTATTTTTAGAACCCTGCGTGTAAGCTTATTTTGAAAACTCTGAGTTTTTGTTATTTTGTTATAGCAGTCTCCATTCCTAAAATAAATATTGGATTATATTTGTGTCCTGGAACTTATATGTCTGTGTAAACCGTTCACACTACTTAAAGGTATTCGAAAACATTACACGGGTCAACAGAATTCCTCTTATCAATGGCTAATCTAGAATATTTCTGACATTTCATTTACAGTATTTCGAAGATCTTGTTATCATAAAAAATACATGATGTTTTTCGAACATGAGTACGTATGGTAAAAAATGTCTTTAGCAAAAAATATAGTTAGCCTCGAAATATATTTGATCTTAACTTCATTAGTTAAACATATTCCAAATATCATACTGCGCGGTATTGAAGTATTATGGTTATAATATTATACTAGTATTGTCAACTCTCAGGAGTTCAGTATTAACTTTTCATTAATTCTCTGAGAATGCAACTAATCTCAGTGTTTATATTCAGGAATTCACTGTTTAATCTTAAATGTAAACAAGTATGGCTTTCGTAAAATTATTTACTTTTTCACAGCATAGATACCCTTTCAAAGAAAGAAAGATGGTCAAACATTTCAACAGTATAATCATTTGTAATATTTCAAGTAATTTTTTTTAGGGTAAACCTGTTTTTTTATTTAAACATTATGCCTTCTGGAGAGATTATTTCGTCAAATTTTACCGATGTTTGATGTATATAAAATAGATTACTGTACAAACCAAACTATATGTTGCTTAAAAAAGCTAAAAAAAAACATAGCTTTGTAAGAAAAAAAAGATTGACATTATAATAAACTACTACTAAAAATGATTAATTGAAACAAAATGCTACAGTATTGTTCTATCTTTTTTATTATTATTATTTGAACAACGTGGATCGTAAATCTTCCAATACTGCGTGTGTGTAAATTACAGTTAATACCTTCTGAGACCAACAGTGAAAGGTTAGAGAAACTTAGCAGATAGTTTCCAAAACGGAACCCATAGAAATGTTACGGATAAGAGGATTTCTAAATATATTCCTCTCTTTAACCTGATGTTACAAATGCCTCATTAAAATTGCACTGTAATTATTCTGAAGGTGAGTTTCCAAATGGGGAGGTTATTTCTTCCGCTAAATTAACCTCATTAATGCAGATGTTCCCTATGGTTTTACATAATTAATCAGTCTTCAAAATTCTAGAACATTTGAACACCTAATTTGTTTCAAAGATAGCTTGTGTAATGGCAATCTTGTAGTTTTCTCAGTTTGAAATATTCAGTATTATTTCGCTTCAATTTACAAAATAAGTCTAGGTTATATATATATATATATATGTGTGTGTATATGATTTGTAAATAATATAGCATTTAAATGCCTTCCCTTAAAGACTATATGTGACATGACGTGACGCAAAATAGCAAATACAGAACGAGCCATCATAGTGCAGGTTATCTATTCAACATGAACTTTCGTATTCCTCTTTTATCCAAGTAAGTCCTTTATTTAGCTTATATATACACACATAGCATGAAGAACAATTAAGCAGGTTTGAGCCTCCGAGCCCGACAGCCGTCGATTTGTACCATCGATCGCAAAAGCCAAGGTGCAAGTGGGCGCGGACGTCCTGCCTTCTAACGATGATTTACGCCCACCTGTCACTGCAGCCATATTTGTTTAGCCAACACCAATAAATTTCCGAGCAAGCTGATAGTTCAAGACTTCACCAGAGAACCATCAAATAGGTAATTTGGTGTACGATGATGGTAGTGGAACCACCCGTATAGTTAAAGCCTGTAATCAGGTGAGTCATATATTAATGTGTTAAGAAACTGTGATCGATTAAAGCTATCCTTAAAGCTTTAGAATGTACTCACTAATGTTGCTAAACCACTGAAACCTTCGTCATTATTTAATCTTCTTAGACAACTACAAATGTTGAATTGTAAGGGAAGTACTAAAATCACATTAAAAAACTCGGGTGTGAATACAAGATTACAACATTTTAGAACATTCATGTTTACATACAGACGTATTGTAGTACTTTATTACTTAAAATTAATTTTTTGCGCATATTCTATAGAATCTGAAAAATGATGTATAAATCCAATGTATATTTGTATTCAGGTGTTTTGGTTTTTTTTGGTGACTTCGTTCTAAGCTACGTGTTATTAAGTATCAGTTGAACTATGATAAATTTAATATGTTATTTTATATGGAAAAAATTAAGTATAGATTACTTGGTATCGACAAATAATGTTAAGTTTTGTTATTCAAAAGTAAGAGACGCCTTGCTATAAGTCATTATTTGTGTTTATACTTATGGCAAAGCTATTATGGTTATCTGTCGCTCTTCCTAGTTTTAAACTACTGACCAGAGGGAAGCGGCCAGTCAGCAACACCCTTCCATCCATTCTAAGGGATTGACTTTCACTTATAACACACTCATGGCATAAAGTTCGGGAAATAATATGTGGTATCGCACGGATTCGAAACGAAGTTCACAGGGACAACTCATTCCCAAGTCAATATTAATGGTGCGCAATTGTTTTGAGAAGTAGTACACATATTTCAACAAGAAAAATAAAACATATTTTATTCCTATACTCTAATGCTATATTTATACACTCTACTGCTTTACTTCTACACTCCACTTGTTTAATTGTACACCCCAGTGCTTTATTTTTACACTCTACTGCTTTATTTTTACACTCTACTGCTTTATTTCTACACTCCACTATATCATTTGTGAAAGGTGTCCAGGATAAAACTCTGAACCGTTTATTATAACAGAAACCCCAAAACTTTACGGTCATGTGATGAAATCTTAATCTTAAATACCTCGGACAGAGAATAAAAGCAAGCAGGAATTCAGATGAACTGTAATTTATATTGATTATTGAAGAACTATGTACATTAGAATATTCAATTTAAAAAATAATGAGAAATATGATTTATCACGAATTATTATGCCACATACAGGAAAAAGAGTAATTATTAACTTTATTTTTATATCCCTTTATTAACCAATATGTGTGAAAACAGTTTGGACGTTTCTTGTGGTAATCTGATTCTATACTGCTACTCAAGTGACATAAGCACTTTCTTCCATTACCATATGTGTTATATTGAACGAACAACAATTTTATAGAACATTTAGAAATTTTCCTTGGAGCTTGCGATACTTAATTTACCAAATCAAATCTCATCTTCGTATAAATAATACACAACATATTGGATTCAACTTGTATTTAAAGTCGACGAAAAATCAGAATGAATAAAAATGAGACAAGCTAAGTTACATGTATAATTGCAGACGTACAATTCATGTAAAATAGGTAAATGGATCGGTATAAGTCAGTTGATATCTTACAGCTAATTCAAAAGTACATAAAATGTTATATTTATATTCAAACGTTAAAATATATGCAAATTAAATATTCTCAAATGATTGCAACACATTATATATTTTACTCTTCATTATATATGTATTATTCTCACTGTTCTTTCTTATTATATCTTTATAATATCTATATAAAACAATTAAATGCTAAAATTGAGCATATCAAGAATTTTACTATAGAAATCCTGTTGAATGAAATAGAATCATGTAACTGATATCGTTAAAAACGTAGTCACACCAATTAGAATTACATAATATATCTCACAAAGTCTGTGTGATAACTTCTTGTTGAAAATGCACATTTGAATCTTAGTATCTTAGATAATTGGTTAATTCACGGCTATGTCAGTATTTTGTACTTTTTATATTTAAATATTCGTTAGACGTATTGTGCGTTAGTTTTCTATCAACGTGACATTTTTCTGCCAACGAAAGTAACATAAGAGCTTTTATGGTGAATTTATTAACGCCCTGAATAGTGTCAGGTACTCGAGACCACGCCTTTATGTGTCACGCAATGCAACTAACCATATAATAAGTAAGATATATATATATATATGTGTGTGTGTGTGTCTTAGAACAGATACTTTAACTATTAGACGGGACAGGAAATCCACAACCATATGTAATAACTGTTATGTCTTTAATTTTATTATTTCTATTAGTGATGCGGCACCCTAAAACCATACATAGTAGTAGTACAAGGTTGAAGTTTTGTGAGACGATCTGAAAAGGGAATTATAAATCGTTTTTCTCATAGTCTTTGCATTATAAATCGTCTTTCTAGGCCAATCATTGAATGGCCATTATACAAATATATTTATTCTTAAATAAGCAATTTATATAACTGAATAAATAAAATGTATAATAACAAAATATCTTCTGTCGAGTTAACAAAATATTAATTGCTATGCTTTGAAGCAATTATTTTAGCGTTTATTGTAACCATTAAAATTAACACAAATAAAAAATTCAATAACTAGAACATAAGGCTGCTTAATTACAGCATAAATTAGAATCCTTACGAATATCATTTCAATTTATATCAAATGGGTAGCAAGCTGTGCGAAAAAGTCTGACTTGGGCATTAAAAGTGTCTCTTAACATATCGTGTATTGTATGTATAGTAATGAGAGAACAGCGAACACAGCCTTAACAACACATTCACTCTAAAGTCCTTTTTCTACATTTGAAAACAAAATAAAATTCATTTAGAATCTCTTGGCGCTTAGTTATTAAAGATTTCTGGCACAAATTAGCTAACTTGATTAGAAAATAAAAATATACGTTAATGAAGCTGGTCTTAAATAGGAAAACAACTAGAACTACTTAACAAGTGGTCTTAAATAGGAAAACAACTAGAACTACTTAACAAGTGGTCTTAAATAGGAAAACAACTAGAACTACTTAACAAGTACTTACTTTCGATTTACAAGAAAACTAGAAGCTTCACTCATTAAATAGCACTGGACCATCAGTTTTAGTTTAGATTTGTTTTACAACTGACAACAGATTAAAAACACTTAGTCATATCGATCAGTTTTAATTTCTCCTACCACTGAGAATAGATTAAGACATTAAGTCCTTTTCAAAAATAACATCGTATTGTTACTAACTTTACTATTCTAAGCATAAAAGATTATAATATTTATCGCCAATTTAGTTCAAGGATTTTAACTTAGTGCTACTCTTTAACATGTACGGTTTTAATGTCGTTAATCCGAAAGCCTTGGAGCGTTTTCATTTCTATGTTTATATTTATTTTCATGCATAAGACCTTAGACCTGAAGAATGATCTTATATTTTTGAAACCTTTATAACTTCAGCTCAAAAATTGTTTGACTTTCTGCCTCATCAACTTTTTATTCGTGGGGGCACGTGTGAAATCTTTTCTCACAGAAACTATTGATAAAGTTTTGGTTGCGTCAAGGTTACAATATTTATTGTATTTAAATGCGAATGAATATAAAGAAGCAACAACAACCTTGAGTAGGATTCCCTTAATGAACTGTTGTGTTATTATGATACCAAAGTTTAAGTGAAAGTCTGTGTATTTTCGGAATGAAGAATGATAATTAGATGAACCTATAGCCTATGTGTTTGTGTGTGATTTCCAATTAAATGTGAGTTTTAATATCTACCACATGAAATATGATATGAAGAAGCACCTAGTTTTTAGGTGAGGATTTGATATCCCTCGAATAAAGTGTGATAACAAGATGTAGTAATGGTTTAGGCGAGGTATGAATGCTCTAATTCTCTTTATTAGAAATTTGTGTAGAAATTTATTATCAACATGTTTCAAATCTAATGTTTTCAAAAAATTATTGGAGCTAAAGTGAGTTTAAATTAATATTAGAAAACGCCCCGTTTCTCTACCAAGTCTTCTATAATTTGGGTTCTTAATAAGTTTTATCAATATTTTGTACTTAACCCAGTTTGTTTCAGAACAAAATATTTTCCACAACACATTCTAAAGCGACATGTGAGTACTTTGAATGGGAGATTCGCTATGCAAAAATCAATATTATGTCAGTGTTAATGAGAAGTGGTTTTTCACGGACTGTTATAATATTTCTGTAACCACGGTAACCATAACAAGACAAAGCGCTGTTATTATTTGAAAGAGATTGGCTGAAAAATACATTAAAACAGGAAAGAAAGATCTTTTGAATATATAAAGTGATAATGTGCAAACCTATAATAATTATTAATATTTTTGCTCGGCCCATGATTTTAGTTTTTCTCTGAGGAATGTTGCAAAAGTAAGAAAAAAAAGGTGGAAATATAAATGAAGAAGTAAGTACCTTGGTTACAACTTCTAAAATGACCTAGTTTTAAACAGTTTTCACTATATTGAAGCATCTGCATTAAACGTTTTGGTTCGGAGTGAAAAAGTGTGAAAATAATTAATTTAGTTTCACTATAAATACCTAGTTTTCGAGATTTCGAATATTAATATCAGGCTTAATACTTATAATAAATAGCCCAAAATAGTGACAGATACATTTCATCAGAGTACCCCTGATAAAGAAAATCCATCTTTCGAAAGCGCTCAGGTTATAGAGTTTTGTAGTTGTCTTTAATTGATTTTTCGAAACTACATGTTTTCTTAACATCATAAATAGCCTAAAATAGTGATAGATATTTCCATTATCATATTAACTGAAATTATTAATTATATTTATATTTTGAACAAAATTTCCTGTGAGGTATATTATAAGAGGCTCTACCCACGTGGAAAAAGTAAAACAATAATTTTCCAATAAGTTGTGTGCATGCATACTTATCTTATCGTACTCTTTGACCATGATCATTATACACAACATCTCTATTCCCTCAACTTAAAAACATACTCATTATATACAGTATCTTCTCACTCTTAAATCCA